CTATGTGTATCAATACAGGAAAATGTACTTATTAAAGTGTCAGCAGAATAATACAAATATATATTGCTGTTATCCAGCCATGTTTAAAGGCTAAATATGTTTTTGTTCCACACTATCTTCTACAAAGTTTCAATGATAGAATATTTTGAAATCAAACGTTCGAAATGTACGGAAGAGGATTAGGACCACATGGGATAACAAAAAATTGAGTTCTGAGAAAAAAATCATTGAATATTTTTGTGAAAATTCTCAGAATTCTGAGAAAATGCAAAACTAAGCCTAAGATACCCATCGACATAACTACACTGTAGCTATGTACATATGACAAACAAAAGCCTTGAACCTTGAAACAATAACACGTTCATAGAGAGCAAAAACAAACCATCAACACTTGGTAAAATCATTGGTAAAAACTTCAAGCATCAACCAAAGTAAGACATCTATTGTTCGGGAGCTTCAATAGCTTTGTGGCTTTGTTACCGTATATACTTTACAATGTACATTTAGAAAATGACTTTCAGAGAACAATGCTACGTATGTTATGTCATTGATTTTGACCTTTGCTCCATTGACTTGTGACACAGTTATATCAGTTCGTCCACAAAATGAAGTTTGGTCGGTTAATTTAAAAAGTAAGAAGATTGGATTTTAAATGTAGTCCCCACTGTGACTTCCAAGCTGTCATTTCATTTTGAAAATCTCGATATTGGTGTACTACAAATCCTCCACGAGGCGTTTGTGAAAATACTACTGATGTGAGACCCAGTGTTTTCCCAGGAATCCAGTGCCTGGCCCAGCTTTGAGTTTGTGTGTCACGCCACCGGATTGTTTGAGTTTTTGCTTTCAACTCCGGCCATAAGAGACCTTAAGATGTTAATTCCCTCTAATTGGAGAAATCTTATCCTCAGCTCGGACCCCCGTATTACACGGTCATATGATCCACACACACACACACACACACACACACACACACACACACACACACACACACACACACACACACACACACACACACACACACACACACACACACACACACAAAAGTTGATTTGAACCATTACATAAGGGTTAAAGTTAGACGCTGAGTTTGGGTAATTGAACAACTTTGACACAGATTATTTTTTACTATTCAGGTGAAAATAAAGAATATACAAGAAACTGTAGAAAAAAGTCTGCGTTCGCTCTCGAAATGTTTGAGATTTTTTCGACCTGTCTGTTTCCAAGTATAAGACACAGGTTTGTGATCTTTGTCTTGTTGCTTTCATCTAATTCAAACCACATTTTTTACATATTTTTGATACTGTATTAACGTTTGAATAAGTCTGTATCGTGAAAGTACCTTTTTATATTCCAGTTCACAGAACTGCTTCTTTGTGGTAGTTTTGGTTTCGGTAGAGGGCAGACTGGTAAAAAATGTAAAAAGCATTTAGCGGCTAAAGTATTTGATGGATGTGGAAGAAGGTCATTGCTGGTGTTATTTTTAGTTAAAGACAACATCAACGTTGCAGCTTAATGGAGGGTCTTTTAGCCGCTTTTAGCTTGTAGTGTTGTTCTCACTGTATGCCACATTTACCTCTGTATAGCTCTACCTGCTCCGTGGCATAACACACACCATTAAACAGTTAAAGAGCCAGATGGATGATGGATGAGTGGAGACTAAACCACTTTATAGAAACATAACTCTAGTTAAATTAAACAGTTGCTCGGTGTCTGCAGGATGTGGCAGAAGGCAATTGATGGTGTTAATGCCCCGAGCTCATTCAAACCACATTAGTAATTTTGTGAAAGGCTCCTTTTATTGTTAACATAAAAGTTAAACATCAGTTTGTTTAGCTTCTTTTAGCTTGTAGTTTTGGTTTTATGGCACATTTACCTTTTGTCTCCACCAGCAAACAGTAGACAGAAACATTTGGACACTAACTGCTGAAGAAAATAAACATTTGCAGCTAAAGAGCCAAATATATTCTCAAATACATTCACCTTGTGGATATAGACATAAAGGTTATGGGTGTCTGCTGGATGTGGAAGAAGGCGCTTGTTTGCCTACAGTAATGCAACTTTGTTTTTTTGCAGCTTTTGACTGAGTTTCTGCCAAAGTTTGACTCTTCTTATCTCTCTCCTCTCCTCAGCCATCATGTATGTGATGGGAGCGCTGGGCCCAGCCGCTGGTTACCTACTGGGAGGAGTCCTCATCGGATACTACGTTGACCCAAAAACTGCCGTCACCATCGATCAGAGCGACCCCCGCTTCATCGGGAACTGGTGAGCGCTGCTTTGGGCTGGTTGAAGTGTAATATCTATTCATACAAGATTCAAGATTCAAGGCTTTTATTGTCATTTGAAAATAGCTACAGTGTTGATCTATCAAGGACAATCTGAGGTCACAGACTCCTCCAACAGTGCAACACAATGAAACGGATAATTGTGCAAGTAAATACAATAAAATAGAATGTAATAGAAATAGTGCAGGATAGTTTATATACAAGTAATTGGAATATTGATATATAAGATGGAAACAGATGAATGTTTTCCCTCTAGTGCTACATATTTGAAATACACACATGCACAACATGCATTAAGAAACAGGTGTCAAAAGGAAGGTGCTGCCATCATATATATATATTTTTTTTTTGGGTCGTGCAGAGACCTGGACTTGTTCCCATCCAATGCATAACTTTAAATACCTAATGTGCTCCTTATTTCATGGTGTTTTTGCACATTTTTTCTATATCTTTCTTTAAATCTGTTGCTGTTGCATTTAGTCATCCATTTACAGCTCGAAGTAATGTCTACTAATAATACAGTTTTCCTTCTGGTGTTAACTTTTTGAAATACACACATGCACAACATGCATTAAGGAACAGGTGTCAAAGTGAAGTTGCTGCCATCATATATATTTATATCTGTCGTGCAGAGATTTGAACTCGTTCCCAAACCAATGCATAACTTTAAATACCTAATATCCTCTTTAGTTCATGTTGTTTTTGTACTGTTGCTGTTGCAGCTAGTCATCCATTTACAGCTCGAAGTGATGCCATTTTCTTACTGACAGAACCAGTGACTCAGCAGCCAACAGCCTTTGGGCTTCTCATATTAATTATACGTCCTGAATAAATTTTTAAAATCTGTAGATTACCCTTTAAAGGCAGGGATATGTCTGCAGTTGCACAATAATTTAGCCTTTATTAAATATTGTGATTCCTGTGATTTGATTATTGTACTAGTTTGGGATTCTGATCACATTTAGTTGAGACTTGGATAAGGTTAAAAGTGTCTCCTCCATCGCCTGATTTCATCTCTTTAATTCTCTGTGTTTGTTTTCCTATATTGTGAGTATTTGATATTCTTAACTTGTCTGTCAAGGTCTGTGTTTTGAGTCTTTTGAATTATTCAATCCTCCCTTAGGTGGAGTGGGTTCCTGCTGTGTGCCATTGCCATGACGCTGGTCATCTTCCCAATGTTCACCTTCCCCAAGAAGCTGCCCCCCCGACACAAGAAGAAGAAAAGGAGGAAAAAGATGAGCATGGATAGCCTGTCCAGCGACGACGACGTCCTCAAAGAGAAAAGCAACAACAAGAGCCAGGCGGTCACCTCGTCCATGGGCTTCGGAAGGGACATCAAAGGTACAGAAATATACTGCTTGAAGATGGGTGCAGGAATGAGTCTTAAAACTTGGAAATGAGTCGGCATTTTACCACTTTAGGTTTGCTTGTCTCAGTCATTGGTTTTTCGAATGTGTCTTTAGTTGTTAGCCTGAAATAAGGTTTGTGGTTAACACAAGCTGAAGAGATGTTAACTGCTGTAGTTCTTTATAGCCCAACATTAGCCTCCTTTAGCTTAGCGGTGGTGATGTGAAGTCATGTGACCGTGCTGTAGTTCCTTTATAGCCCAACATTAGCCTCCTTTAGCTTAGCGGTGGTGATGTGAAGTCATGTGACCGTGCTGTAGTTCCTTTATAGCCCAACATTAGCCTCCTTTAGCTTAGCGGTGGTGACGTGAAGTCATGTGACCGTGCTGTGGTTCCTTTATAGCCCAACATTAGCCACCTTTAGCTTAGCGGTGGTGACGTAAAGTCATGTGACCGTGCTGTAGTTACTTTTATAGCCCAACATTAGCCTCCTTTAGCTTAGCGGTGGTGATGTGAAGTCATGTGACCGTGCTGCAGTTCCTTTATAGTCCAACATTAGCCGCCTTTAGCTTAGCGGTGGTGACGTGAAGTCATGTGACCGTGCTGTAGTTCCTTTATAGCCCAACATTAGCCACCTTTAGCTTAGCGGTGCTGTGTAGGTGGTCTCTCTGCCTGAGGAGAGATTCATCGTCTGGTGATGTGATGGCTGACTATATGTGGGACTTTGTAGCTCGTACCTCTCTAGAAGAGTTTCGTTGCTGTGGATGTTATGACTATATGTGGCTACTCTCTCAGACGTCGCTCTTCTCGCTCGCCTGAGAAATCTCATTTCTTCTGTCGATGCGAATGGTCGGGGTACTTGTAGTCGTCTTGTCTCTCTCTGTTTCATTGTGGGTGTATGTTATGACTATATGTGGCGGGCACTTTAGTCGTCCTCTCTCCTGAGAAATTTCGATCTCTCGCTGATGTTATCATGATCTATATGTGGGACTTGTAGTCGTCCTCTGCTGAGAAATTTCATCTCTATCGGAGTGTATGCTATAGTCGTGACTTGTAGTCGTCTCTCCGAGAAATTCATCTCTGGCATGTATACTACTATGCTGGCGACTTCTGTCAGCTCGTCTGTCTCTTTGAGAATTTCATCTCTTGATGTATACTCGATATGGCTCGGACTTTCTAGTCGGTCCTCTCGCCTGAGAACATTTCATCTCTGTCTGGCGTGGAACTTGTACGTCCGTCCTATCCTGAGAAATTTCATCGTCGTGTGAGCTATATGTGGCGAGGCAGGTAAACTTGATCGTGGTTTGAATTAGGTATTAGTGCTTTCGGTGGAGCATATTGTCATTTTTCATGTTTAGTAGTGAGACGGTTAATTGGGATGGTATGCGATATCTGGGCATTGGTGAGAAGGAGGTTTTATGTTACAGCGCAACCGACCGTGCTAGACACAACTGACTAGTACTAAACCTCTGACTATGGGTGACGGTAGGGGCCAGTTTATTTTGGTCGAGAGGAGTCGGAGACCTTATATATGTGTCTTTTTTTTATGGAAGGTCGCGCGCGGTGAATATAATGAATAAGCTTATGTCGAATCGCTATCGTCTGAGCCCTGGGTGGTGGGCGGGGCTGTCCGCTCGCTTCACTCGTGGCTCAGGTTCATGTGGTCGTCCGCGGGGGGGTGTTCTCACGTGACAGACTGCGAACGTGTCACTTAATAAAACTTAAAATGTGTGGGTGGTTTCTGGTCCGACAGGTGTTGGTACGGCGCTAGCCTAAAAAGGTATGCTTCCCTCTCTCCCCCCTCTCGCTTCGCTTTTGGCTACCGTCTTTTTTTTGTCTCTCCTCGTCCTCTCCGTAACTCGCCGCGCGTCCCTCTTGCTCGACATGTCGACCGTGCGACCGCACTCGCGCGGTTTTTTGGGTAACACTGGTAACAGGCCAGACCACGAAAGCACCTGCTCGCATAGATTAACATTTTTGGGTCAAAGGACTCCGCTCGGCGCGCATAACAAGACAGTGGCTTCGGGGGGTCTCCACTGCCTCTCCCGTCCCGGCCTTATTGAACTAAGACAAAATTTCTGTAGGCCGTTCCTCTCCGGCCTCTCGCCTCCCCTCTTTCACCAAAAGTTTATTTTGGTCGCTCTCTCCACTTCCAGGTCTCTGAACGTAGATAAGAAGAGAGGTGAAATCTAAACTAGAGAACTACGTACTGTGTATCCCCCTCCTTCGTGTGTGAGGTGCTTTTTGATTTGTTATTTTTCCCATCCTCTTCGCTCTTTCCGTCCAACAAGAGACACATGACAATGACCAGGTTGTATAAGTTAACTTCTACAGTTCAATACCATTATGACACTGATGATATTTAGGTCAACATAAGCCTGTCTTTAATTGGCATCAATAACGCTGAACTCCCCATGCACTGTCATGAGAGTTCACAAAACGCGATCAGCTTATATCATTAACTCACTCAGTGCTTTCCGTCCCGTCTGCTGGTGGCTAGTACATTTCAGGTCTATAACGATAAGTGAAAATCTAAGACGAGCAACTCGTGACTTTCGTATAGCCAGCTTTCTTTGCGTGTTCGATTCTCTCTCCGATCGTTCTTCTATAAAGTGACAGGTTTCTAGAGTTACTGCATTATAGACATGGGACTATATTTCTCGTCAACATAACCTGTTTTTCACTGCGTCGAAACAGCTGAACTCCCTGCACTGCATAGAGTTAAAGATGACAGGTCATTTTATATCATTAACTCCGTTTATACCAATATTATTTTGGTCTCTTAGTTGTGTCGTCTGAACTTAATGAAAATCGTAACGGAGGAGGGAACGTGAACGTACTTTCTGTGATAGCCCCCTCCGCTGGGTGTGAGTGGTGCGTCTTTGGTTTTTGATTTTTCCATCCGTTTCTTTTCCGGTCGCAAACAAGACGCACTCATGAAATGGACTAACAGCGTCGCGCTGCGTCCACCATTTGGCGTATCAGAGGTGAGTATGTCCTTAATAATCTTAGTCGAACACTCCGTAATTTGTGTTCCTCATTGCCTAATAATGCAACTCATAAGAGAGGGCCTATACACTAAGGTCCCATTTGACCTAATAGATCTTTTTTCAACTTAGAGATTCCTATTTATATGCTCTAGGGACCACGTGTTGTTTACTTGTAGTGAAATCATCCTATCAATTACTAGGGATTGATCGGAGATATCATCGTTTAGCTATCACCACGTGCCATCCGTATGTTTTTGTTCTCACTTCAGTCACACTGGCAGCCTACGATGCGAAGCGAAAGTGATGCCCCGGTTGTAATCGGGCGGAAGAATCGAACTCGCGCGACCGACGTGCAGCTTCAGTACACTTCCGCGTCAGCGGGACATCAAGGAAGGATATCGGGTTTGTACGAGTCGGCCGGAAATCGCGAATCGCGACACTGCCTTGAGTAGCGACTGGGCACAGCCCATCAAGGAAAATCGGGTGAATGCGGTGGAATCGATCGCCACCACTGCACTTCAGGTACACTCGGCGAGGGAAGGAGAATATCGGGTTGTACTCGGTGAAATCGAATCGCCACCCTCCACTTCAGTACACTGGCGCACGCATCAAGGAATCAGTCGGTTTAATCGAGGAAAATAGAATCGCCACACCAGCTCGCGGCACTTCAGTACAATTAAGGATTTAGCAGAATTAGGATCTGCCAGTAGAGAGGAAGGGAAAGTTACACGAGAATTGAAATAGTGACGGGGTAGGGTAGAAAAGAAACAAAATGTTAATTAGGGGAAAGGTAGTGAATTTAGGACGGAGGGGGAGACAAAATTTAGGATTGTAGAAGAAAGAACAGGAAAAAGAGGTGAAAAGTAGTAGGGAAGTAAGGAGTAATCAAGGTCTAACTACGGAAGTCCACAGTAAAGTCTTCACTGTCAAGTTGCGTGACGTAGTTTGTGTGTCTCTTTTAGTTGATATGTGTGTTACTTTATTTCGGGATGTTCACTCCCGTTGTCTGTTTTGTGTTGCGCGTCTGGCGCGCGCGCGCGCGGCCGTTTGTGTGTGTGTGTTGAACCTATTACTGTGTGTGTGTGTGTGTGTGTGTGGTGTGTGTCGTGGTAACCTATTACCGTGTGTGTGTGTGGTGTGTGTGTGTGCTTGTGTGTGTGTGTGTGTGTGTCGGGTGTGTGTGTGTGTGGGGCGTGGGTGTCGCGGGGCGGGGTGTCGGAGGCGGGGGTGTGTCTGTGTGTTGTGTGCTGTGTGTGTGTGGTGTGTGTGTGTGTGTGGGTGTGTGTGTGTTGTGTGTGTGTGTGTGTGTGTGTGCGAGACCGTGTGTTCGTCTAATTAGAGTTATTGACCTCATATTTGGTCAGCGCAGCGCAAACGCGTGCGGCTGTGTGTGATGTTTTTTTGTCTGAGTACCATTTAGTGTGGCTCTACGTGTATTCGTTCATTTAGTTTGTGACGTGTGTGGTTGCCATGTCTTGTGTGTGAGGGTAGTCCGTTTACCGTTCATCACCTCCGCCATGTTACCCATATAGCGGCCGCGAGCCGTCTTCGATTTAACGTCTGTCGCTTCCCCCTCTAGACCCGGTCAAAAAAGTTCCGACTGATATATGGAACCGTCGTCTTAACGCGATGGTCCCGTGAACAGAATCTATGTTGTGTGTGTCGTGTGTGTGCTGTGTGAGTGTGTGTAAGCGTGTTTCACTTCTTTCGATTAGGACCCGAACAGGATAACGAAGGTGTCGCCCTCGCGGCTCGACGTCTATGACCGGAAAAGGAGAAAAAGCTGTTAAAGGCGCTTGCATTGTACACTAACTTCTTACACAGGTCAAACTTCGGCTCGTCGCCATGTTGTGGTGGCTGTGGGTGTGTGCTTGTGTGTGTTTTATTCGTGTGGTACTAGTATGTTGTGTCTGGTGTAGTTTGTGTTCTGGTAATGTGTGTGAGGCCAGGCGGACACAGGAATGACCGACATTGGGTGAGGCCAACAATACTCTTCAAAAGTGTGTTAAAGGTCCGTACTTCCCAGCTTTAGGTGGAAGGACGTCATTTGTGTGAGTGGTGTGTGGTGAGTGCATGTGGATATGTGTGGATGTGTGTGAAACAGGGGTCGACTAGCGTTCGACAAAACCACGTCCAAAGTTACGGGCCATTCGGGCGCGCCACACGAGCGGCACGCGAGACGTCGATGCTCGCGCGGCGCTGGGTCCTCGCGAAATGTGTTGTATTTGGTGATTGGCGAGAGGAGAGACGTATCTGGGTGTGACAGGATGGCCGCTGTCGTGCACACGCCGACACAAAAATAGTTGTTGTAGTTCCCTGCCTGGCGGCTCAGGCGCTCGGCGGGGAAACAGCAGCCGTCGACACCGTAGTGTAAACTATTTCGCGTGGAAATTTGTCGTTTCTGTAGACCATTCGGAACTCCTGGCGGGTAGGGTTTTATGTGAAAGTTTTTCGTTTCTTTCTTATAAACACACCTTTTTGAGTGTTGATTTGCTAAAGTCGCTTCCACCTCACAGAACATCTCACTCACACGCGACTCCTTTACAACGAGGCGCCGACTTGTTGACGCGGCTTTGCATGCAGCGAGCGCGCTTTCCGAGCCTGCGTGTGCGAATCTTTTCACTCACTGAGAAGACTGGTCATTTCTTATAAACCCTTTACCTATACTAAAAAAATGAAAATACCGTTCCTTCCTTAAGAACTTAACACCACAAATTTCGTGCAGCGCCAAATCTGAACATCCCTAATTCTAAATCTCATCAACGCCGGTGCGGCTTTTCAAAAATTTAAAATAAAATTTGCCCTGACATTGTGAGTCGGATCAAGGTGTAGTGCCGTCCTTTGGGTTTTTCGTCTATCCCGGAGAAGTCCAGGAGTATACGATCAGAATCTTTATGTATAATAATAATTTGCAACAGGGAGTTACTTCGAATACTTAGCTCGTCGTGTCGCAGACTAGCGAGCAGAGGAGTAATGCCAGAGTTTCTTCGAAATGTGTATTAGTCTATGTAATTTGTCGTGTACTTTGTTGAATTTTGTATCATCAGTGGCTATCCACTACAAGCACTCTGCACACGCACACAGCACAAACACGAGTCAATCACAGCACAACACGTCACAACACACCACACACACACCAACACACACTCACGGACGACCGTCGAGAAATTTACACCCAAGTCGACTGCGACATCTAACTAAGACGCGACCCTTTCGTACTACGACTCTTCAATCTGTTCGAGCTTATAAATTGACACCGACTTCACTAATCTCCGTTAATGAGCTACTGCTAGCCGCTGAGACTGCACATGCTCCCGACTGCTGTCTGACTCCAGTGCAGACGAGTCCTAGGACGTGCGACGAAATCCAAGTCGACTGTTTGCTCGTCAATCTATCTGGATGGTCCGACTTTCTGTGACTATGTCGCAAAATAAAAGTGGACAGTCGACGAACTGAAATAGCTACTGGTTTAATGTACAGTAAAACGTGTAACTAGAGCTCTTTGTCACCCATAAGTCTTGTAAACTAGTCAATGGACATTTCGGATTTATAGGACCTTATACGTTCGATAAAATCAAGTACAGTCACACGTACTTTAGAAAGTTCGGATCCTGTTCACTCTAGAGTTCCCGAAGAGATGTTAATTTCGCTTCGACATCGTAAAATACTGCTGATAGTCTCAACAACCATTAGTAAAGTCTCTTACGACTATACAGATGGTCCCGACTATTATTAATGTCGTCGTCACAGTGTGCCTATGTGCAGTAGTGGCGATCGATTTCGCATAATACAACAGACATTTCGTTAATTACGTTAGGTGGTACTATGCAGTTGTGCGTTCAGTTTACTCACGGTCTACAACCGATATTTCCTTGATGTCGTGCCAGTGTACTGAAGGTGCAGTGGTGGGCGATTCGATTTCCTCCGATAACAACCCGATATTTTCTTGATGTCGTGCCAGTTGTACTAGTGCAGTGGTCGGCGATTCATTTCACCGATTACAACCGATATTTTCTTGATGTCGTGCCAAGTGTACTGCAGTGCAGTGGTGGCGATCGATTTCCTCCGATTCAACCCGATATTTCCTTATGTCGTGCCAGATGTACTGAAGTAGTGGTAGGCGATCGATTTCCTCCGATTACAACCTGATATTTCTCTGATGTCGTCGCCAGTCTACTANAAGCCGCAGCAGCTAAATTGAATGATGTGTACATATATAAGCCGCACTGGACTATAAGCCGCAGGTGTTTTAATGTTTAATTACCATATGTAAGGGTTCGTGCACAGAGGGGATTGTCGGGAAAGAGATGGCTGTTTGAGGAAGCTCCCGATTTATTAACATTTCAACAAACAAGTTGCATATTTGCATAACGTATTCAAGTGTTACCATTTAGTGCAATAGTAGCTACAGAACATGTATGTGCTGTGTAAACTGTACTGTATCACATAGCGTTTCAGACACACAAACTTTTCAACTTTCAAACTTAAACGGTGCGCTCCCAGCGCACGTACCGGCAGTGATCTACAGCAGTGGTTTTCAACCAGTGGTACGGGGACAAACTGTCTCGCTCTCGTAATGTCTGTCTGTCTTGCTCTTGTTCTGTCTCTCGTACCACTCTCGGTTCCACTTTTACTTTTGCGCGCTACCTGTCTCACTCTTTTCCGGCCTCCAGCTTTTCCTGCTGGAGCCCGCCGCTTAAAGGTGGGGGGCGCGGACCGGCCATAGAGCCCATAGAGTTAAAGGTGGTGGACTGTAACCTGTAAAACCCATAGATTTAGGAGGTCCCCTAGTGGCCGTTAGCTGTAGAAATCCATAGATTAGCCGCACCGTTATATAAGCCGCAAGTCGAAAAATGGGAAAAAAGGCGCGGCTTATAGTCTGAAGATTACGGTACTTTTCATTTCTAATGTTTGTATGATTCTTTGAACCTTGTGTGAATCTGCTCTGTCCTGTTTTTTCCACGCTCACTGTGTTGCTTATCTTATTTCATTGTATATTCCCTTTACTGTCCCAATGTACATCTCCAGCTGAATACAGGATGTGTTATTCTGTCCTTATGAACTTCACAGATCTGTAGCGGAGCAGGAGAGGCCGTTCGCTCTGGGCATGCAGTTCGTTCTCCTCAGGACCCTCGGTGAGTAGAAAAACATATTCTCCATCTTTTTATGGTGGCATTAAATAGCTTTTATGAATACGTCCAAACAAAAACCCAGACATGAGCAGAGGACTCTCTTTACATCAGTATCAGAGGAGGGGGATGTAACGTCAGCTGATTGAATTGATTGTAAACACGCTGCACATTTTGGTAACTGCTGACGAGGAGCTGATGAAGCCTCGGGGGAAATGAGATGTCGTCTCTTTAAAGCCGCGCTGTTCTCCTGAATCAGGGAACGGGGGGAAATGGATCTGAAACATGTCAGCTGCTGTCAGGAAGAATCAGTCAGGACAGAAACTCGATCCATCAGAGAGGAGTTTGACAGACATGTGCATTAATGGGAGTAAACGATGCATTATGGGAAATGTAGGATGTGTTTTTGGAGCCAACGTGGGTTTAATCCATCCGTTTTAAGCAAGTCTTACCGACGCTCAGCTCTAACGTCCACTGTTAGCGTTAGCACTAGCTGCAGAAGTGCTAATGGAAGTCTGACGGCAGATAATCCTTTTTAGTTTTAGCTTTCCAAAGGCAAGAAGAGAGATATCAAACATGGATTAAAAAGTGAGAAAGACCTCACATTGATAACATATCCTTCATTTTCTCCAAGGTGCTAAGTTTCTGTAGCGTTAGCAAACAAAGACAGTTTTAATATCTATATAACTATTATGGATTTATTGCATCTTATGGATCAAAGCTCCAATGTGAGAGCATGTCCTAAACCAATGGGAAAAGGGTATATTTTAGATGATGAAAGTGATGGGGGGGCATAACTAAACTGCAGCTTATCTTAAACAAACTTATATTGACTGTTTGAGAGGATTTAGATTTAAAGTTGTCTTAGTTTTCTCCAATATTGTTTTAATTTCTGTACTTTTAGTTATGACTCTCTTTCTCTCTTGTCTTTGTTCCTCTCCCCACCTTCGCCTTTTGTTGTTTTTTACTCTCCCCCCACCCTCACATTTTTTACCATAATCTCTCCCTAAACTCCATTCGCCCATTTTCTTTCTTGACTTTCCTTTCATACTTGAACTAACTTCACTTTTTGTCTCTCACCATTTTTCCATTTTCTGTCCGTTTTCTCTGTTTCTTGATGTTTTTTAACCATTTCTCCTCTCACTGTATCCCTCCTCCTCCTCTCTCTATCCTTCCTACATTTGCCCATCCTCTTTCTTGAACTTCCCTTCATACTTTTAACTTAATCACTTTCTATCTCACCATTTTCCAAATGTTCTGTCCATTTTGTCTGTTTTTTGTCTGTCTATTTAACCATTTCTCCTCCCCCTCTCCCCCTCTCTCTCCTCCACCCAGCCTACATCCCGACGCCCATATATTTCGGCGCTGTCATCGACACCACGTGCATGTTGTGGCAGCAGGACTGCGGCGTGCACGGCTCCTGCTGGGAATACGACGTCACCTCGCTGCGCTTCGTCTACTTCGGCCTCGCCGCCAGCCTGAAGTTAATCGGCTTCTTCTTCATCTTCCTCACCTGGTACTCCATCAAATACAAAGAGGAACGAGTGGAGCAGTGGATGAAACGCCACCTGTCGCCCGTGGACACCGTGGGAAGTCTCGTTTGTCACCCTGGAGGTCACAAAGGTCACGCTCGCACCCGATCCTGCCCCGTAAACATCCCGCGAACCGACCCCAGCTCGGTTCTCGCGGCTAACGCGCCGCCGCGAGCAGGGCCGTTAAACCGCGGCGTTAGCACCCAGAGTTGCCCTGGAAACGAGCTAAAGGAAGTAGCTCCTCCACCAAAGGCGACGGCTTCGGCGACGTCGGCTTCGGCGACCTCGCTCGACCACGTCTCGGCGCGAGTTTGAAGGTCGAAAAACGGGGGGCAGGCGATAAAATCAGAGAAAATAAATCTAAAAATCCAATCAGATGGTTTTTAGCGGCTCTCAATCATCACACAGAGGTCCTGCTTTCATTTCAAGACCCTCTCAACGCGGCTTCTGGGTTGAAAAACACCGTCAACTGGAAACAGAGCATGTGATTCTGTGAGGAGGAAATGCAGCTTTTTGATTGGTTGGTGAAATAATCGGAAGAAGTGTTTTTTCTTTGACATTCATCAGCGGACAAAACGCTTCAAGAAATAAAACCCCTCCCTGCCCTCGGCAAAACGTGCCTTCTGTCACCCCCTCACAAAGAAAAAAGCGTGAACGGATACCTCAGCTCCGCCTCCTTCTTCATCTCCTCACCGCCATTTTGTTTTCCTGACTCTCACAAATAAAAAAAAATAAAAATAAAAATAAAAAAACCTTTGGAAATGTGACATTCTGCAACCAAGTGTTCAGAACCGGAAACCGATGACATGGTGCTATGTGTTGAAAAAAATGTTTTAGCGTCCATTTTTTTTCTTTTTCTTTTTGGGTCATTTTTTGAGTGAAAAGACCCCCAGAGGTCAGTGGGTTAAGCAGCTTGGAAACACAGAATGAATTCCTGTTTGATGCCAGGCCTCCTGACTCGATAACGCCAAGTATTACCGCTGGAAGTCGGATTGTTCAGCTCCAAACAATGCATCCATACACCCCTCCTGACTTGATAAGTGGTTTACCCCAAATCTGCATTTTCCTCCTGACCACATTCCTGAGGAGAAAACATTTATTGCTTGGAGACGCGATCGGATCAGAGGACTCTTTACCGGACCTTTCTTCAGAACTTAGAAGTAGTCGTCCGTTCTCTCAGAAAAGCTGCTGCTGAATTCTGGGATGGATCCTTGATTGGAGGAGTTAGTTTCTTGCTTAGCATTTTAAAAGTAGTCCCAATGATTTCTGGGTAATGACTGCGTAGGCTTTGCACTGATCTGAACGTCAAAGGAAAGGTTTAAGACATTTAGTCAAAAGAAAATCACTGTACAACGTGCAGAGAAATCTACTGAAGAGCTGCAGCTGACGATTGTTTTCTTAATCTATAAACTACTAACTATTCCTCAATTAACTACCGTATCGATTAATTGCTTGATCTGAAGAGAAACAGTTAGAAAGATGTGGAAAAAAAGCCCATCACATTTCGTCCAAAAAATCCAAAGATATTCAACGCAGCAAATGAGATTTGAGAAGCGTCTTGTTGTCTAATTGGTTATCAGAACATTTGTGTCTGTCGGCTAATCGCTAATGGTTTTAGCTCCAGATCAGACCCAGTAGTTAATGTGCCAAAACCATTTCATCAAGCACTTCTTATTATTACGCTATTGTTTAATATTTTGTAGCTCTAAAAGTCTTCGAGACAAATGAACGCAACCCGTTTTAAACGCTAATCAGTGTTAAATCACTTTAAAATGAATTTGGCTGGACCTTTTTTACTCGCAGTATTATCTCCTCACAACCCACTTGTTTCCTAAAGAGCAGCTTCCTGTTACAGCGTTCCTCCGACGCCCCCTGCTGGCCGGATGTATTACTCTGCTGCTTTTCCACTAGAGAAACATGGCTTTTTATTTCACAAACCAAAACAGTGTTGAAACAGGATTTAACAAAGTCCTGATGTCCTGGTTTACATGCAGCTTGTGTCTCGAGCAATCAGTATCTTGTATTGGAGATTGTTCACTTTGTTTACCATTCATTCACCTGCTGATTATTTGTTGTTGTTTTTTTTGTATGTCAGAAAATGGAGAAATAAGTTACAACGTCCTACAGCTCAAGTGTTTTCATTTGCAATCATAGTGGTCTTGAAAAGGCAGGAAAATCACACGCGGGAAACTGGAATGAGTGAATGTCTGACGTGACTATTACTACAATTATTAATATACAATTAGTTTGTTTTGTTTGCCAAATCGAGGAGGAATCTGATATTAATCCTACAAGAAAACGCAGAACTCCACGCAGTTTAGACTAAAGTAAAAATAAACTACATTCCTGTAAAAGTGATAAACAAACATCTTTAAAACGAGGATCTGTTAGCGGGGCGCTGAGACCCTGGTCCTGTTTCTCTGTGCCTACATTTCACTTTAACAGCTCCTTTGTTTTCTACGTGACGCTCCTGTTCAGCTGGTTCTTTGAATCCCAGACAGATGAAATGTTGAGCCCACCTTCCTGAGAAGAACGCTTTAAACATTTGGCGTCGTAGCTCCTACAAAGTATCTCAAATTAGCTTCATCATACTCACTGCTTTTGTGAAGTATGTTGGTCCGTCCCTTAATAATGTCTGACTTCCTGTCTGCAGCCCTCCCAACAAAATGTATACTATACAACAGATCTTAAACACCTCAAAAATAATTAAAATAAAGACTCGGTAATACCATACAACAGCTGGTCAGAGTACTTTATTCTACAGCTTAAGAAAATCTCTACTCTACTCTTTCACATGTATTTGTCAATAAACACTTAAGATGTCCTCACAGCATACATTACATTAAGTGTTTTAATCACCCGTCAATGTTTCTGGAAAAAACCTTTTTACAGGAATATGAATGCTCAGATTTGTTATCGAACAGATTAAGGCAGCACTTAATCTCAGTGTTGATTAGTTTGAAAGGTATCTTCTCTTAGTTTGGTCTTAAAATGACAGAATTGTGGTTCTCCTAGCCAATTGGTTCCTACGAAAGAAAAATTAAACAATTAAATAAAAGATAATGTACCGGCGTTTTTAGCATAGAAACAAAAAAATTATAAAATGGGATGATACTAACTCCTCGGCAGTATTTTGTCATAAATTAATACAAGAGAAAAACATCTTAAACCTGTTATATTACCAACAAGAAAACAAAACTCTTGCGACATAACCCTTATTATTTCCTTATTACATTGTATTGTTTACTTTCCTGCAACACGTGATGATTTGGTGTCTCAAAATAAAGGCTCTTTGGAAAATGAGGTGCAGTATTTCACAGATTTGAAGACCCAAAGTATCCTGAAACTCACTCCACTGATATTTTAGGTTTTTAGCCATGAATTAATACAAAACAAGTCGTATTTTAGTTTGTTTTTTTAACCCAAAACACTGCAGAAACCAAACCCCTCCCCTCAGGTGGTCTCAGTATTTCATCCTCACATCGTGGATCTCCAGCTGCAGGACTTCACTGCGTCACGTTTCTTTAAATCTTCCTCTCACCTGAAACAGATCGTTTCCCTCCATGTGTCGTGCCGTAGTTTCACGTAGTAATAAATGTGGAATCATCTCCAGACTCTGAGACGTAGGTTAGAAAATCTTATTCTTCTTTTCTTTTAAAAAATAAAAAATCAGTATTGTATTTATTTCCAGAGGACAGTGTTTCTGACGGAGAGGCGACGGGCGATCCGTGGAAACACGGCCACTGAGCCTCGGATTCTCCTGTCAATAAAGATGTGAAAAATAATAAAACAGTATTACAAAAACATGTCTGTGGGTTTATTTCTGTGTACAAATGTCTGTGTATTGTTATATTATGTATATATCATAGTATAGTAGGCCTATGTGCAAAAAAAAGATAAAGTCAAGTATGATGAAATAAAGGTCACAGTAAAGTACATAAAACACAAATTTGAAAGAAGTAATTTGAGTTTGTCGGGTAAGACAAATTGAAACTTCCTACTATAGATAGATATATTTTTTTTTTAAAAAGAAACGATACAGTGGGTGTTTCTCAATGTCAAGGAAGGCTCCTCCAGAAAATGTATCTTCCACTTAGATAAGAGTAACCTGTAGTATACACAGCGTGCCGTTCACGCAGTACTCCACCTGAGTGCACTGGAGCTCTGTTTGTCTCCACCCAGCTGTGACACATGCTTTCTTCCTTCAGAGAGGAATTTTGAAATAATACTATGTTATGTTCGCGGTCATTTTCTGACAGTAAATACGATAAAAATGTATTTCAGGGGATTCTAATTGCACTAAAACGTGACACGTGACCAGACCGTTCTGGAGCGGCACCAACGACATTACAGAAAATAACAGATTTTGCCTCTGTTCTTGCCCTTTTCTCACCTGCTGTGTTCAGTGTACCCATGTACTTTGTTCCTACAACATCGGGTATACACTCACACTGTTACTGAAACACACTTTGAAACCGTGACTGAAGGTGACTGTGCGGGGAGTGAGTATCCCGCCTCCAACTCTTCCTAAGTATCGCTTCTCGGCCTTTTGGCTAAGATCAAGTGTAGTATCTGTTCTTATCAGTTTAATATCTGATACGTCCCCTACCCGGGGACCATATATTAAATTGATTTTTGGAATAGGGAGATGGAATAGGGGCTTGCTCCGTCCACTCCGCGCATCGACCTGGTATTGCAGTACCTCCAGGAACGGTGCACCCCCTCTCATTGTGAAAGATAAAATAATGCTCACTCAACAAGTCCGAGAAGATGGGCACATTTGAACCAAGCGGCAAACTGTGGGGTAGAGCCGTGACACCAATACGGAAGTGCCACACACTGCAGTTCATTTGTTGGCCGATAGGGTCTGACTGCAGAAAGGAGCAATTTCCATAGACCCCCATGTTAAAATGCCCAACTTTACAGCAGAAAAAAACATGTTTCTACCATAGGTTTCTACCCATGGATGCAATAAATATTATTATGAATATAATTAGATTCCACCTTCGTGATTATGGATCTGTGAGTGAATTGTTTTCTAACACGACCCTTTTATTTATCTTAGGTCTTAAAGTTTTTTGAATAAATTAGGCTCTGTCAAGTGCCTTCTGCTGCTAGCTTCTTGTCTCTCTGCTAGCTGCTCCGTGAAGCTAGCTACAGGGACTCTGCCTGGTCAGTTCATCCAGGAAACACAACTTGAAAGCGGCCGTGGTTGTCTGTTCTTCATGCTTATTATATCGGACTATTGTGACTCGCTCTGCGGTTAAAACAGACGGTGCATGAATGCGGTTTTGCGGTAAGTGAAATTCGAGTACTTATTTATGTGTTAATGATTTTAATCAGCTACGTAATGAATGTTAAGGCTTGGGTTAGCGTGTGAGCGAGTGGTAGCTACATCGGTGCTAACGATGCTAATCGTAGCCTCCAAGTTAAAATCATAGACTGTATATATATAAAGTCTAAAACGAAATAGACAAGTGTTAAGCGTTAAGTGGGATAATACTGTTGAACAAACAGCTTCTGTTTGAGGCTGATAAAATAAGGTCATCCTTGTAACTTAGAGATATTTTATTATGTAGGTAGGAACTGTATGCATCGCTAAGGTTAATTTAAATTGGCTATGCTCAAGTATGTAGACAAGCTAATGTCGAAGATAATATAATACATTAACCGTGCTTTACGTGAACCTCATCATGACACAAGAGACGACGGCAGGACTGTAATTTCCCGTGTTCAGTGAACGCAACAGAGGCAACACACCAGACCAATCAGAGAGTTGCATGGAAATACACGTGTGCTTGTGTCATTCAAGCTCGGCTCTGTGTGTGTGTGGCCATAGCGCATTAAGTGTGATAGAGAGGGAGTGAGGGAGAGAGAGGGACCGGTGCTAGCGGGGACCGTGATGTTAGCATTTGGTTAGCTAGCTGCACGAACGGACATAAGGAGCTGTTTCCACAACAAGCTGGAGGAGAGTCCTCTCCTGTCAGACTGAGGGGCTCAGGTGAGCTAAAGGACTCTCTGAGTGTTTAGAACAGTTTTGTCACAAATTATTCAAAAGTTATTTCCGCGGCACACCTTCATATGATCATTATAGTTATACAAACAATAAGAGAATAAATGAAAAACAGTTATGAAATAGCCTACTATATGGCAGTAAAACAAGAATACAGTTTAATGTGATTTGTAAAATATCCATAAAGAAAAAGAAAATCTGTTTACAGTTCTGTTTCATATGGGTGCTGAGAGAT